GGTAAACCCGACAAAACTTCTGGAAATACATCTAAAAACTCTCGGACTACTGGCACAATCTGAATCTCTAGTTGTGGGACATCACTATTATGCACTACATGAGCAATATACCTCGAGCACCTTTTTCTTAGTATCTTTCTGGCCTTTACACTGCTAATCAACATACTAAGTTGGTGGCCCTTACAGAAATTAAACTTATCACCATCATCAAGATTAAATCTTTCTTTCTTATTCTAGCAATCAATCTCTACTCCAAATCTCCCCAGGAAATCCATGCCCAAAATAACATGAAAATAGGGCATATCAAACACTATCAAATCCACTGGCAACTCCATTCTATGGATCACCACAGACTCCCCTAAAAGGATCTCCTTAGTTACCACACTAACACCATCTAGTAACTCTTTCTTAATGGAACAGTTCTTGGCATTTTATTCTGCCAAACCCACATGTTCTTCCTGGGTTGAAATATTTTCTTATTTCGTACCTCTCTATTATTGGGGGCATCAGCTTTAACAGTGCTGTCGTACACTCCACGGACCTAAACCACTTTTCTGCCACTATAGGGTCTGTCGTACCCTTGAATGCTGATAGCTGATGTTGACAAGGCAACTCATATATCGGCTCAATACGATTCTATACTATCGGGGGTACCGACCTTTCTCTCTCCTCTTTGGGGGTTGATACAATAACTAGGGTCTCAACCCTCTCCAATATCGAGCCTCCTTGAGTCTCTACCAAGACTTACTATATACTTACGGATCCTCGCTTCATCGAGGACAGGGGAAGTAAATTCTGACGGGTTGGAAGGTTCACCTGTACTCATTGCCTTCTTACTGCTTGCTCTAGTTCTACGTCTCATCTACATAACACCAACACTTTTAGTCAATGCAATGAACTCATCTACTACAAGTAAGGAAAGAAATAACTTACAGCGGTCGGCTACGGAACATCAATGTGACGAGAGAGGCACACTGTCAAATTCTCAAATCTTTGCTCTGATACCAAAAATGTAATGACTTTCTCTCTCTGTTCTTTCTCTGTTCTTTCTCTATTCTTGTTTCTCACTTACTAACATGTAAGCTCAATTGGAGAAACTAATTCTGAATAATATGAATGTCATGATGCATGTGCATAAATGCATAAAGAATGCAATTTCTTTTCTGTTTTCTGTTTCTCTTCTTTCTTTCCGTGTTCTATTCTTTTTTTTTTTTTCTGTTCTATTCTGTTCTTTCTTTCTATGTTCTACTCTTTCTTTCTTTCTTTTCTTTCTTTCTATACCGATCAGACTCGATTAAGGCATGGATTCGGAACCCTGGCAATGTGAGTGGGTACAGTCCTCATCTACATGCACTTCTATTGGACTGTACAACTCTTCTTTCTGATTCTGAGGCCGCTCACTAAAGGCGGTGTGCATGTAGGTAAATTCTGTTGGTATAGTTCTCATCCACATACACTTCTAACGAACTGTACACTTACTTCTTTCTGATTCTGAGGCCGCTCACTGAAGGCAGCGTGTATGTGGGACTATTCTTCTCTGTCACTCACGGTTCCCCATTGCAACAACTTTCTCTTCTCTTCTCTTTTTACAATTAATTATTTTCTTTCTTTTTCTTTATTCTTTACTATTCTCATCTATGTGTATGTGCATGGAACTATGCTCATTCTTTGCTATTCTTTCTAAATGCAAATTTGAGAATGTGAGATTGCATTATGGCATATAAAAATATCATTAGAGAACTAGTATTTTCTACCAACAACATTCCCATACTTGAAATCAATCATAGATTATTAGACTAAAAAATATTTTGAGGTATTCATTCTTCACATGTCATATTCATGAAGGCATATCTCGAGTTATACACATCGGATTGCTACAATCTTGGTCTTGTTTTAAAGCTTAGAGATAGGGCTACAACTTTTATGTTTAAGTCTCAACTCAGTTCAACCAGTAAGATGCCCAAAAATCACTCAGACTGTCATAGCTGTGACAAGGCAACCATGGTAATATGTTTTCTCTTAGGATTTTCATCAAACAAATTGCATGCATACTCAAACTCTATTTGGCTACACTTCTACTTCTTTCTTAAGCCACCAATATTTGGAGCAAAACTCCATTAAATCAACACTAAACCTGGCTAGGAAACTACACTCCATAAAGTCTACTCAAACTCTTTCTAAATTCAACCAAACTTCCATCAATCACCATATAGGCAAAGTCTACATTCTCATGGCTGAATTTTAATTATCATCAAGTATCAATCTCATCAAAACTTCTCAAAAACATAAGCACATACATACATGTACAACTCAAATCAAACTTAGGGTTGGATTTACTTACCTTGATCTTGAGTAGTTCCACACTAGAAACTCTCCCTTTGGGTAGATCTCCTCTTCTTCTTAAACCCTAAACATATAACTATAAGAATTCAACACTTTAAAAATTAATCTCACATCAAATTGTAAGAACTCTTACCTTTGGATGCTTAGGATTGAATCTACCAAAATCCAACAAAAAATCCTCTAAATTTCCTTGGAAATTTGATGAAGAAAATGAGAGAATTTGGAGATGAAAGTGGCGTGTGACGGAGTAGAGAATGATAGATTTTTCAAGAATGAACTCAAAATATCTCATTTATTACTTCTACTTTCTCATTTTGCCCTTGCACTTTCTATGAAATTTCATATATGTCCCTTAGTCAATTACAACAATGCCCTCATTTTTATTAACTTCTCCATGAAATTCTATCTCTTTTCACTCTCCACTTTTTCAACTAATTATGAGTGAAAAGACCATTTTACCCCTAATAAAATTTTAAGGCATTTTCTTCACACTTATTCAAGATACCTTTAACAAAATTCAACTAAGGGTATTAAGGAATACGTAAAGCTACGTACCGCGATGAGGGCGTTGCAAGTCATAGCCAACAACGTTTTTTATGACTCTTTAGACAAGTTAGGCATGTGTGATATCCATGCTCTAACTTGAGGGGGAGTGCTAGAATTAAGGGATAATGTCCTAAAATAAGAGTTTGATATGGTCAATATTCTTAAATGATACTATTACCTTCATTTCTCTCTTAATTATAGGATATTTCATGTAATATTTTGTAATTACTTATTTTATTTTTTCCTTATAAATGTTCATTTTATGGACTATATATATGATAGAATTACAACGAATGAAATCATAAAAAAAAAATATTTCACAATTGTGTTCTTTGAAGAAATAACAAAGACCAAACGAGTGAAAATGATGGCTTATGCTTAGACTTGGTGATATGAATCAATGATTAGGAACCTGGCTCCAACCAGTCGGTTTAACCACTTGGACCGGGACCTAGGGCCTCCACCAGTCCGATTCAATAAAAAACCTGACTTTGGACTAGTAAAATAGTAATAACCCACCGATTGGATCGGTTTGGGATCCAAACTGGGTCACTTATATTAAAAAACTGGTTTAGGATTTTTTGAACCCTAAACCCAAAATTCATTTTCATTTCACACAAATCTTTACTCTCTTCTTTGCAACCTTCACTCTTTTTGCACAAATCAATCAAAACTTTACTAGTTCTTCTCTCTTCTTGTACAAATTGATCGAATCACAAATCGATTGAAGAAACCACTCAATCGCACAAATCTTCTACAACCTTTGATCTCTCCAAGTCTCCACTTTGCAAAGTCGAAGGTTTCTTCTCTCTCTCTTTTTGCGAACTTGCAATTAAATTAGTTCTTCAGTTTTTGCCTTTTTGTCAATGGTTATTCATGTATGTAAGTTGCGTTTGGAAATTTTTTCCATGTCTCTAACTCTGTGTTTTTGGGCTATTGTTAATTGGATTTTTTGTTTTGATTTTGGGGTGAGCTGCTTGTGGGATTTTATTTTTGAGTAGTTTTGCTTTGTGTTTGCGGATTTTGATTCTGCGATGTTGAATGATTTTGGGTGGTTGGGGGAATAACTTCAGAATTGAAGAAACCACTCAATCACACAAATTGTCTTCCAATTCTTATTATTATTATCTTATTAATTCAGATATATGCATTGCCCCATTTGTGAATGACGTTGGGAGTTGGGATGTGTTGTAGCTTCAATTCTTGTGATGGCTCAACAGAGTTTTATAGACTAGAAGAAAATTGGGACGGCAAATGAAGTGGTGTGATGTGAGAAATTATGTGACTTTTAGATCAAACTTGTGAAAACGTTTTAGACTTGTTAAAATGTGCATATAGTATGATCCCTCACCTAATCAAAATTCAGTTAACATGCATTTATCTTCATTAAATATTGTTGCATTTGTAGGATGTTTTTGTAATTATTTTACGTAGCAACTGTATATTGGTGTATATATCTTGGTTATTGTTGTCGTGTATACGGTCTGATTATTTATAGTTCAACAACCTAGGATTTTTTTTACCTGCCAAGTTGCTTTGTTTTGTAAATACTGGTAAAGATGAACTATGTAATACTAAGAAAATTGTTATCAGAAACTGTAGTTTTGAAATGAAATTGCATTTGTTCATTCTTGTTTGTTTACTTATTTTGTGTGTATGTGTATGTGTGTGTGTTTTTTTTTTTTTTTTTTTTTTTTTTTTTTTTTTTTATCAAAAATTTTTTGTTATTTTGTGGAAGTCATCTAAACCTGATAGTTCAAAAATTAAGGAATGCACCTAATCACTCTCCATTAGTCATTCAAAAGACCCCCACGCAAGTCTGCACAAGCATTAATAGAAATTGATATCATGTTATCTTTACCTTATAGTTCAAGAATGACATTGATTTTATTTATTGTTTTTGTTGGTTGCCAGGGAAGAGATAAAAACCAAGAATTTCATCATCTGGGTCTGCACATCATTCTATGTTCACGGGTGCTTCCTCAAAATTTGTTCGAGGAAAGAATGATGTTGCATGGGCACATTTTGTTGATAGCCTTGATGAAAATAGAAGAAAGATATTAACATGTTTATATTGCGGCAAGATAATTAGAGGGGGAGATATTTATCGAATGAAACTATATCTCGTAGGAATAAAGGGGGAAGTTGGAAAATGCTCAAAAGTTCTCTATGATGTTGCATTCCAAATGCGAGAGGCAATTAAAGAAATTGGGGAAAAAAACATAGAAAAAATTGAGTTTCGTAAGCATGCAAATCCTTATGGTACTGTTGCATATGGGTTTGAGGGTGACATGATTGGTAAAGCTTGTGAAGAGGTCCTTCCATTAGAAATGACCATTAATGAAGGTGATTTAGGGTATAAAAAATAATGTACAAACACTAAGAGAAATAGACTAGTTGGGATTAGTGATTATTTTGCTCCATGGACTATTACTGGTTCTCAGCCCTTAATTAAGGGTGTTTTGGCGAGAAAAGAAGCTAAATGGAGAGCAGACATGGCTTTTGCCAAGTTTCTTTTATGATTCTTGCATCCCAATGAATGTTGTGAATTCAATTTATCTCTAGCCTTTGGTAGATTTCATAGCTACAATTGGTCCAGGGTATAAACATCCAAATTATGATGCTATGCATATCAATTTATTGATGGATGCTAAGAAGGAAGTGAAGTTACTAGTTGACGATTACAGGAAGACTTGGGAAGAGGTTGGATGTACCTTAATGGTTGATGGTTGGATTAATACCTCACATAGGCCATTGATTAATTTCCTTGTCTACTGTCCTAAAGGATTTTGCTTTCTTAAATCAATGGATGCTTTAGATGTTGTAAAGGATGCCTTTACATTGTTCAAGTTGTTTGAGAAAATGGTTTTATGGGTTGGACCTAATAATATTGTCCATGTTGTCATTGATAATGGAACAAATTATAAGGCTATAGGAAGAATGTTGTCCGAGAAATATAAGAGTATTACTTGGTCGCCTTGTGCAGCACATTGCATAAATTTGATTTTAAATGATATAGTTGAGATGAATCATATAGTTAATCTTGCCAAACGTGCATATGAAGTGACGAAGTTTGTGTATAATCATTTAGTCTTGTTAGCTTGGTTGAGGAAAAGACAAGTTATATACCTTTAGCTCATTTTCCTGTTAATTCATATCATAACATAATATATATATTTTTATTGATTTACTGACATCTACTATCTATCACTTGACCAGGGTTGGACAGAAATTGTACGCTCGGGTGCAACCCGTTTTGCAACCACTTTCATTGCATTGAGAAACCTTCATGAGCACAAACATACCTTGCAAGCAATGTTGACAAATAGATTTTTTGTGGGTTCTCGATATGCAAGAAGTCATAAAGGCAAGGAGGTTATTCCCATAATTCTAGATTATGGATTTTGGGATGGTATGGGTATGGTTTCCCAAATTGTGGCTCCGTTGATGTGTGTGCTGCAGATTGTGTAGATGCAAAAAATCTACCGCCATGAAAATAAGGTATGATCCCATGAGGTTGAGGCCACTGACAATCTGCTAGACGTGCACACATGAAAGGACGAGCATGAAGCTTACAAAAAGCACCAGGGTGGTGTTTGTCGTAGGCACTCCAACGCTCAAGTCAGCAAGGCTGAAAGAGATTATTTGATAAAAATTAAGGAGATGGAGAATTACCAAGAGTCTTGTCGGAGGCTAGGACTACGACGGAGGCGTCGGGTTCTTGAGAGCAAAAACTTCAATAGCAAATAGATGGTTTTGCGTAGTGTAGATTGACTATGGGAGATTCCTCTTTTATGAGATGGCAGACCTTTTTCTATATAGTGAACCTAAGGGGTTGGAATTTTAGTAGGTCACTAAGTCCTATTTTGGGAGATAATCCCTATCAGGAAAGAAATATGATTTCCTGACTTTATCAGGTTAAGTTTAATAGTTTGAGTAAGATTTGGAATCTTAGTAGAAGAGGAAATAGAATAGTATTCTGATTTCCTATTTATGGACTGTTGCAAGCTAATGGACTGAAACCCAATTTAGCTTAACTTATAGGATAGCCCAACTCATAGAGTGGGTAGTTCACAAGGTGATTTTAAGCATAGGCCCAATCAGGATTGGGCTGAGGCCTTGGGCCGTGACATGTTTATTTCGTTATTGGGTCTCGTCAGGCTAAAGACGATTTTTGGCCCTAACAGATTGTAGACTCAGATGACAAGCCTGCAATAGGATATGTGTATGATGGCATGTACCGAGCGAGATTGAGGATTAAGAAGTTATTTAAGTATAAGAAGACACTGTACAAGCCTTATACAAATATTATTAAGCAACGGTGGGATAAGCTATTGCGCCGTGATATTCATCTTGCTGCTTATTTTTTGAATCCAGCTTTTCAACATGACGAGGCATCTTTTTGTAAGAAATTGGAGGTCATGAGTGGTCTCCTTGATGTTATTGAGAGGAAAGCAAGTATGTTTAATCGTGAGCAAGTCAAAGTTAGTGATGATAGTAGGATATTTCGAGACCGTGAAGAAAGCTTTTCTCGTGAGCATGCCCTTCAAACCTCCATAACCATATGACTTGGTATGTAATAGTTATTAAATTTCTTAGTTTTAAACTTTTAATTTTAAGTCCAATTTTAGAGTTATGACTTATGAGATTAATATGTTTACTTCTTATGTCTAATTTGCAATTAGATGAATGGTGGAGGACATATGGGTATAGTATTCCGATTTTTCAAAAGTTTGCAATTTAAATTCTAAGCCAAACTTCAACCTCTTCGGGGTGTGAGTGAAATTGCGTGCTTTTTAATGCATACATTCAAAGAAGAGAAATAGATTGGAGCATCAACGATTGAATGATCTTGTTTTTGTTCATTACAACTTGTATTTGAAAAATAGGTACAATCTTTGGCAACTATGGATTACTAAAGTATTCTCTCTTATTTTCATTGATATTTTTATATGTCATGCTTTTGATATTTAATTTAACTATGGTCTTTCAGGAGGTTTTACAAGAAAATGAGTGTTGATCCTATTGATTATGAAAGTATAGATAAAACCGAATTTTGGATAGTTGACAATGAAGAGGAGAATGGTGATCTTAATTATGAAGAATTGGAACAAACATTTTATAGAAAAAGATCTAACCCCTGCAGGTGTTGGTGATCATTATGAATATAATTCAAACTTAGCAAATGTTTCACAAGGTAATTAAAAGTTTTAACTTTTAACTTATGACCTTCATTTGTTGCTAAAATTTTTGTAGATGGTGATGATGATGATTTTAGTGCAAAGCAAAATCAATAAAGGATGGAATTGAATATCTTTTTGTTTATGTATATGATATAGATCATATTCATATTTTGCTCATTGTAATGGAAGTCTTTTTGATGGATTTGATATTCATATTTTGCTGATTGTTTATGTATTTGATGTAATTAGTAGTAAACTTTGGTTATATGATGGTAATGGAAATTTTTTTTTTTTTAATTTTTTTATCATGCTAACGTCAACATGATAATGTCATCGATCCAACCGACCGATTCAACTGTTTGACCCACAACCCAACTCCCTGGCCGAGTTAGTAGACGGGTCGGGTTCCTAAACATTGATATGAATTTTGGCCCCAAAGTTGTTTGTAGAAATAGCACTAAGCGATATGATGCAATAAATATGTGCAAATGTGAAAGAAAAATATATGTTCTATGTCATGACAAAGTTATACTTTCAATATGATGTAATGCAAATGAACTTTAATATTTGCATCCATATCATACGTGTACTCCCAACTGCTTACAGCTTGATTAAGCACTTACACGGTAATGTATAATCGTATCTTGACGTTTGCAATATTTTGTTTGTTGCCTTTCTCAAATGAAGACAACCAAGGGCCCAAGAAGGATGAATCTGCTTTCAATGACTTAAAGGAGTGAATTAAAGGCCCCGTGAGTGGGCTTATATGTGGGCGCAATTGTTAAGTACCCTTTGTACATAAAAAGCCCACTGTGTCATATTGGAGTTGATTGTTTTGTGTGTTATAATACTACACATATAATATTTTTATAAAATATAATGTGACAAAAGATGATTAGTCAATTTTAAATTAAAAATAAACTTTCACCTAATCATCGTTTGCCACATCATATTGTATGAGAAATGTTGTATATGAGTATTACTCTTTTGTGTGACTAGGGGTGAAAACTGAGTGTCGCGAGCTCGGCTCGGCTTTGGCTCGAATTCGATTCAGCATTAGTCGAGTCGAGTTTAAGTTCAAGTAGTTCAAATAATTCCACGAGTCGAGTTCGATCACTATACAAAAAGCAATTAAGCTCGAAAAACTCTACTAAAACTCGATTAACCAAACTCGAATTCGACTTTTAGGTACCGAGTTCGAATTCAATTCATCAGGCTCGACCATGCTCGAACTCGATTCATCAAGCTCGATTAGACTCGAACTCGAACTTGGTACTATAGTAACCGAGTCAAGTTCGAATAACCAGATACTCAACTCGATTTCACCCCTAGTCAGACCCAGCCATGTTCCTAGGTTTCTAGGAAGTTGGAAATTCTTCTTTCAATTGAAAAATGATAAGCTTTTGGTTGTTTGAACACAAGCTAGCTGGCTAAGTGTTACTTAAAGTTCTGGGTATATGTTATATGTTTAGTGCATTTGCTCCTAAATGAGTGATAGATAACTACAAAAAGAAATTGGAGTATGAAAAACAAGATCTGCATCAAGATTAATTTATTGTGCTTAAAATTTGTCATCTTCAGTCCTGAAATGACACTCCTTCCAAGTAACGATTAAGTGGCCCTTCTGATCGACTAAAAAACATGCTGCAGCAGATCTCATTGTTTTACCTTTTGGGGTACACAAGACAAGGCATTTTCTTAACTACATGATTTCAACATTCTGTAGAAATTATTGTTTTCTTTGGTCACATTAGCAGTATGCACTCAAGCTCATTTCTAATGGAGATGCATGGGAGAGAGATATTCGCTTCACTCATACACATTGAAAGACCAGATGGATAAGTAAATATGCTTTCCCTACATTTTGCTACCCCTTAAAACATAAGTAAATAATATGATTTTATATATTTTCATTTTATTATGTTTAAGTAGTTATATTTTAGTTTTTCTTTAGCTTATTTAAAAAAAAAAAAAATATTTGGTTTATTTGATACTTCTTATAGTTACGGTTAATGTACTATTATTTATTCTTGTATCTTCACCAGTTTGAGGAACAGTATAATGAGATTGCTGAGGTCTGAGGACACTTATCTCTTGTTCTCTGTTACTTCATTAGATTTAACAGAGTTGGCATTTAGTTTTCATATTATTTAGGAACCCCATTATTAAATACTTCAGTTATCGCATTATTACATGACTCAAACTACGGCAAGAATTACCAGGATTTGAACGTGTTTTGCTTTTCTGGTTGTAGAAACAGAGCATCAGCTAATGAAAAGATCCTGGAGTTCGTCATCTTTTGACTTTCCCAGTTGTTAAATCAATTACCTGGCTTTTTAAGAGCTTCCCTGCTAAATTTAATGCGATGCTTGGAAGTTTTACCTTTTGACATCAATAAAAGATACCTTACAGTAATCACATGCTTCTCAAAGAGATATTTACAGTATCATTTTTCTTTTGTAGTACAGACAGAAAATATAGCAGTAGTAGTAATCTTAAGGGTTTAAAAAAATTCTGTAATATAAATACATGCATATATTAAAGAAGCCTTTGCATTAAAATTTCACATCAGCTCCTGTCTGCTTGTGCTCTATCAACAGAAAGATAAATGTGATGACTGATGATGGGGCCTGCGATCAAATTATTTCGCTGAACGGGAAATCAGCAGTGATTTGAGTTGTACCTTCCACAATTTCGGTTATTAATTATTGCACATTCCATAGTTACTAATACATCCATACTCTAATTACTAAAACAATATAGAGTAATACAAAATTAAAATCATTAAGTAAACAAATACAAATAAATAGAAAAAAAACACTTGCAATTTATTCTGGTTCAACCAATAAACATGTTACGTTTAATATAGTCAATATTAATTATTAAAATTTTGTCTCACTTTCTCGTTACCATGAAAATAATTTTCCCTATAATTTGTTGTCATTGAGAAAACTAAGTTTATATATTAGGTTTAAAGAGTAAAACCTAATAGTACAAGATTCATTTTCCTAACCCTAAACCTAATTAGGAATTAATTACTTAAAAAAAATCCTTTAACAACTCTTCATAGAATAGGCCTAAACCACTTACAGGCCCAGGGGTATTGCTCCCTTGATCGGGGAACGAAACCCCCGAATGCGTTTATATGGTCTCTTATTGTTGAAATGGTCGACAATTCCAACAATTACTTCTTATATATTTCGTGTCTGAACATGGGAAACCATCTAAGCAGATCTATTTTATTTATTTCCAATTTTATGAGTTAACCAACAATGAAGAAGTGGTGAATAAGTATCAATATCAAAACTCAAAAGGAACAGACGATTATGACTTCACCACAAAAAGGCATAAAGAATTTCGTCAAAGCCCGCGTGCGGGCCTTACAATTATTTGCAGAAGTTATTGACTGGACCATAGAGCTTGGATGGTAATGACAATCTTTCTCAGTGATCTTGCAGATTTCAATAGTTACGGTGGGACGGGACCAGCCTTGTTTCAGTGGTGACTTTAAAGGACTAGTTAGTACTTAGTACTTCAAGCTACAACTGTTTCGATTAGTGGTTCCACAGTTCGAGAAATTTAACCACGTGCTGATGTAACTTCTCTTCCATGTGGGTTAGATTGTCTTCATACAAGATATTTTATGTTTCTTTAGTGTAAAATTGAACTTAGGTAACGTACATACAAATTCACATTAGATTCATCTGCTTTGGAATGAATATTGATCTTTGATCATATAGTCCCTGTTGTTAAACTATTATGGATCAGTATTAATTATGTTATCCTATTTGAATTAAAAAATAAGATATGTGTTTGTTTACTTATTATACCAATCCAATCCGAAAATTAATCCAACTTAAATAAGATCTTTTTTTGCCTAAAAATGAAAAGAGGGTGGGACTTGTTTTCAGATTATCCAACTCTATTCAATTGAAAACATTTTTTCAACTCTATTCAACTAAAAACATTTTTCTTTTTCTCCTTTCTCTGTAGTTCTCTCTCTCATTTTTCTCTTCTTCCAATCTGAAAATTAATCCACCCAAGATTACCACCATCGGTTGCCACCGCCGTCGACGTGGTTGAAACGGCGCACGATTGGCTAGATCTGGCCGTTTTTGCCCAGATTTACGGTCAGAGATCTGACTGAGATCTGGTCGTTAACGGCCAAATCTATCTTGCCATTGATGACGGCTAGATTTTGGCTGTTAATGAAAACTAGAGATCTGGCTGTCAACAGCCAAAACTCTAGCCGTTAACAACGACTAGATTCTGACTATAGATCTAGTCGGAAACAACCATATCGGTGCGCGATCGGCCAATTTATTATAATTTTCTAAAATATTTCAAAGGAAGAGATTTATCTTTAATTCTCATTCACCGAGGCTTTAGCATCTAGGACGAGTATGAACTTTCATTCCCATGACATAAACTATATGATACACAAATCCGATACCTGTCACTGATTCTAGCGAATTTAGAGAAATCTACAACAGATCCAATTTATTTTATTTAAGCTATAAAAGCATAGTTTTGTTCCATAGCCGAACAAGATAAAAGTGCTTAGCTATAACTGATACGCTGTAGTGAAAATAATAGTTAACCATCAAGACAGTATTTCTCTGTCGTGGAGTTCCAATGCTGTGCTATATCCTCAGCTACTTTCTGTGCATCCATGGAAGCTCCCAGTAGACCTTGCGCGGTGAAACCCACACTGTACACTCCCTTTTGGCCTTTCCAATTGTTGGGTAATGAGCTTTTACGATGACCATTCTTTTGATGGAAGAAATATTTTGCCTCCTTGTGTTGCAAAAAGAAACTAATTAGGATGACTAAAGAAACAAGATTAACGTTAATATTTTTAAAATAATAAAATATACTTTTTTGAAGTCAAACAGTAAAGGTCTATTGTAGATCATTATTGATTTTTGTGTCTAACTCCTCACCTAAAATACCTTATTAAGAGAAAATTGTCCACTCTTATAAATTCATTGGTTTAAAAATACCTTATTAAGAGAAAATTGTCCACTCTTATAAATTCATTGGTTTAAACATGTTTAGTCGATACAAAATCTCCAACAACCTTAAACATAAGAAACCCATACCTGAAGCCATGATGTAGTATTGTTTTTGTAACCAGTTGCTAGAATTACCGCATCGAAATCCTCCAACGTTCCATCAGCAAACTCAACACCACTGGTTGTGAATTTTCGAATAGCATTCACCACCTATGTCCCAGAAACCGAAAAAAGAAAAGAAAATTAGACATGAAAAATATAGCCTACCTTTATAAACATGCAGGCTCTATCTGAAAATATAGTAATAAAGCTCTTAATGAATGGCTTATGCTTTTACACTAGTTCTTATGTTTAAAAAAGGCAAAAACTAATCATTGTTTTAACTTTTAATATCTTCTAGTTGACTTTTATTGACGGCTATTGCAAGCTTAATTTATCCAAACCTTGACTGTAGAAAATATGGTCCTCTTCGTTATATTCTTATGCTTTTATAGCAGCTTTCAAAAGATCTATTTATGATAATATAGTTTATTATCTGTCTAATATACAAGTAAAAGTTATGTTGACCTTGATTTCACCAGACTTAATTTTCGCAAAAGCTCCGTCGTCGAGAACTGGGGTTTTTCCAACAGAAATCTTTAGCTTCAGGGGTCCAATTTCAGGCCTTCTGATCCCACTTTGATTTGTATCTCCAATGATAAGTCTTGAACAGAGAAGAAGGAACCAGTCAACTGTTTCTACAGGAAACCACTTCAACAGCCACATTGAAAGAGCAAAGGTTGAATTACCCAGGACCTGTTTAGGTAATATATGGAACTACCAGCGGCAAAAATTGAAAAATATATTCATAAATCACAAGAAAACATTTTAAAGAAACTGAAACATGAATTTACTAATAGTTTAGTATAAATATGGACAATCATAATGAAGCATGTTAGAAAACTGTCACACATGAAGTGCATTATTTTGCACCTTTCATGCCATGCCATGCTAATAACTGATTAGAAATGAAGTAGCTGGGGAAATTAAGAGAGCATGAATTTACCTTATTTCTTATGACTATAGAAACTTTAGCACCATTTTTGCATAGATCCAAACTAGTCTCCATGCCTGAATTACCACAACCCACTACCAAAGCTTTCCTTCCTCTGAATGGAGCTCCATCCTTGTATGCACTGGTGTGAAGTAATGTTCCCCTAAACTCTGATACTCCAGGAATTCGTGGCATCACAGGCTCTGCATTTTCTCCAGTTGCTACAATGAGCCACCGGCACCTGTACTCGTGCTCGTTAGTCTTCACCCGCCAGCACTCCTTGCTTTCTTCGTACTTAGCCCACTGAACCTCCTGTCCCAACATGGGATTGATCGAGAAGTGACTAGCGTAATCCTCCAAGTAACTTATGAACTGCTGTTTTGTTGGGTATGTTGGGTATTCACTAGGAAATTTCACATAAGGAAGTTGGCAAAATTTCTTAGGGAGGTGAAGCTGCAGAGCGTCATATGTTTTTAGTTTCCATAGAGACCCTATGCAGCTCTCTTTTTCGAGAATCAAAGAGGGTATTCCTCTTTGTTTAAGGCATGCTGAAACAGCTAGCCCCGAGGGTCCAGCACCAATAATAACTGGTCCTCGGGTCCAAAAAATTTTGGATTTGGAGTTCATTGTTTCATCATCCATTGAGTTTAACTTTGTGAAAAGTTGTTAGGTTCAGTTTTAATTTAACTCGTGAGATGGATTTACCTCCGTTACTTTGTTGCTACAAACTCAATTCAGGAAATCGTAATCAGAGTGGAAATAAACACAGTATAGAACCAAGAAATTTGATCTTTTTAGGACATTTAATAATGAAAATAAAAGATGTTCGAAGATAAAGACGAAAATTTTGCTAGACTCTTATTATAACTACAATCAGGAAAAGACATCCATGATAGATAATATAGACAATAGACAATTAGACATAGTTGACAATAAATTTAAATGAATCCCTCACAGTACTCGTGCATGTGAGGAAAGAAAATCTTTTTATGAAGAATTTTGTTGAAGCTATTGGAGATTTGTGTAGAGAATGAGATTCGTTTCCAATGCATTAGGTGAAAAGGTATATATCCAAGTAGTTAGATAAGCATGAGAAGAAAAAAATGAAAGACATAAGAAACATGCTTGCAAAAACTGGGATTACCACTTGCCTACTTCTTACCAGTTTCTAAAAAGATAATAAAGTCATTCGTTTTTTCATATTTTTCCTTTAAATAGTTCTAACTATTATAGTCAATTCTTTCATTTTGATAGTTTCTTTGATTACATGGATTGGGATTATACCTATTTGCACAAATATCGATGATTCCCATTTGTTAATACAAAAAGTCTAATAAGCATATCTTGAATCGGTACCGAAATGGGATCCCCAATAGCAGGAGACAAGAGATTCATATGAGAAAACATAAGTAAATAGGCCTCTGCTTGAGCCTCTAAAGTTAAAGGTACATGAACAGCCTTTTGATCCCCCATCAATGTCTGCATTGAATGCCTTACAAATTAATGGATGTAAAACAAAATAGCATGTCCTTCTAATCTCTTGCACATGGATATCGAAGTTGAAAGAAACTTATATTTGTTTGCTATATTGAGTGCAAGAAAGAAGACGGTTTGATAGAGAACATGACGAAAGCATATGGATCTTTTAAGGAAAGAAATGTAGATAAGAGGCAACAAAAGGTGAGAAAAAAAATTTGTTGGATTCATGAAACCCATGTTCTCAGTCAAATATAGATATCATGTGTACTTATAGGAGAAAATTTAGCTGCGCGGTCCCCCCAAGTATGTATTTAAGAAAATGGCCTTGAAACTGTTCATCAAATTTTTTATAATTTAGAGAAGATGAATTGGCATAGTTAGGATTATTTAAACACGTAAAATAGGTTAAAATGAAAAGATTAAAACATATGTGGGCCGAATCAGAAATAATGAAAGTTTTCAAAATTTGAAATTTCGCAAAACAAGCCCCACAAACTATTCACGTCGCTTAATCGAAATTCATCAGTTGAAAACGCGATTTCTTGAACGANAAAAGCTCCTTCAGAACACAGTCTTTTCATTTTCCCACGTTCACTTTCACGGGTTCTTCCTTCTTCACATTCACGGATTCTTCAGTCTTTGGAGTTGAGATCACAGCAGGCGTAGAAGCAACAGCTTGAGCAGCTTCATTCTTGTTGATCACCTCTGCCTTCACAAAATCTTCTTTCTTCGCAATGTCCACCTGAACAAGTGTAGTTTTCATCTTTGGTGTAGAACGACAACTTGAATAGCTTCCACAAATTTTCCTCTCCATCTTCTTGATCTGCTTCTTTAATCAATTGACAGCTTTCTTGAGAACTGATGAGTATGTTAGAGGGAATGTCGAGTATTTATAGGAGAGGCTGTTGATGCAGTGATATTTTTCTGGAAATTCAATTGAATTTCAGTTAGGAGTTTGAAGTGTTTTTGGCGCCAAAAAGTCCCCTGTTTTTGCCTTGCATTCTTCCGTGTGAGAACTGCTGAAGTTGATATGTTTTGGTGATGAGTTTAGGTGTATTCAGCTGCGATTAAGGCTATATTAATTGTAAGCTTTGGTTTTAAATTTCAAATTTGTAAATATCTCTGAAAAGTTGGTGTAACAGTGGACTGTTTTGTTGTATAAATTTGTAATGTTAATGCAATGAAATCATAACCTTCTCTCTATTTCAGTTTCTCTCTTTCCTTTCCTTTGAATTCTCCGGCCAAAACAACTACAGAGGCAATGAGGCTGGTGGTATTCTTCTTCATTTAAAGTTTGATGAACCCGAGAGCTTTATGTGCCTCTCCAAATTCATGAGTGCCATGCATGTGCCTCGAAAGTGCACAAATCATGAATTATTAATCCTAAACATTTGATCTTCTAGCTGCCTACATAAACTATCTAGTTAACAACATTGGTATTCTAAAAAGAGTAAACGACTTTTTCCCACTCAAAGGTCTGGCTTAATATTTCGTTACTACCTAAAGCTAATTCCGGTCAATTCCGATGGCAAAATTCTCTCGTTATCGCTATTTGAACCTCCGGTCTCTTTTCTACAAAATCTCTCTCACTTGGACACTTAATATCTAATTGATTGTTGGCCATCGCAAAGTTAAGGTTTTCTGTTTTTAGTTGATTTTCGACGGCAAATATTCAATCATTTACTATTATTTGATCCATCAACCTTCAATCTACAAAAAGCTTCTTACCGTGGCTCCTAGTAACTTGTAGAATGTTGGTTGAGAAAATGAAGTGTGTTTGGATATTAATGGAATATAAACATTAGGTGAGAAAGTGGTATTTTGAAACTTTTTGAATGAGAAATGTCAGTAAGGCAAACCTTGGGTGGGAAAAAGCCATTTAGTCTTCTAAATACATGGAAAACTTTTGCTTGCTTTATCTTTTCTATTGATTATTGAAGTTTAGACCATGTTTTTAAAACTCGACTTGGCTCGGTCGGTTTAACTGGTTGAACAGGGAACTGATGATCGAGTTGGGTCGATTCGACTAAAAAACCGAAAATTTCAAATGACCCAATTTGAACTCCAGTTGGACCAGATTTTTTGTTACGATCCACCGGTCCAACCGATTTGACCTAATGGTTGAACCGCTTTTTTATTATTTTATTATTTTTTATATGTCATGTTGATGTTAGAATGATGTCATCACGCTGACATCAACATGATGACATCACGGTTCGACTTAGTGGTTGAACTGGTTCGACTGGTCAACTCGGTGACCTAACCAGGTCACTCCCCAGATCGGGTTTTAAAACCTTGGTTTAGACACATGTTTAATTAATCCCCTCACGATGCCGAAGATCATGAACATTCTTCCAAATAAAAACTTCGATATACCATTTTTAATTACAGTACTTGTCATGTCATTCAGCTGTGCTTTGCAACGAGTTTGTGGCAATGTTCTTCGCCTTTGTAAGATAGCTGGTCCTCTTCAAAGTAAGTTCCACCCTAAAGCTTAGTACCCATGCATAAAGAAGAATTATGTACTCATACATATGTATGAAGATTAAAACACAGAAATCAATCAGTAAGTTACTTCAGGGGATTTAAAAATTCTGCAGAAAGCATAAGGCTTGTGGTGCAATGATCATATTCTGTTTCATTTAGAGTTACATCTATTTGGGTATTTTAAAGAACCCCCAGATTCAGAAATATTCAATTCCTAAAAGTTTGACATATTAATATTGGGATGTTATGGCATAAAGGATGGGTCCTATTTGGATAGATTATTTCAGGGATTGAGAATGCTAATTAAGAATTGCTCTAAATTAATATACTCGGGTTCAAATACCAATGTATTCGCTGTTTGCTTAGTGGTTTCGTATAATTCTGAAAACTAGAAAACACGAGTTTTCTTGAAACCTCTTGTTCATATCTCACATTAAAAGGTACTATTCGATAATGTCTATTTAGCAAATCCTCCATTAACCAGAGCGAGCATTCAAATATCTGTTCTACATTCATTTGCGAAGGTACTCATAATAGGTCTTCCCACCTTGCAAATAAGGCATATTCTGTCTAGGCAAATTTTTTGAAATGATACCTTTATTTCCATGTCTTCCAGCTATTTTATCACCTACTTTAGGCTGCAACATTAACTTGCTTCAGAACTACTGTTTCCTGGAGTTTAAAGTGTCATAAATTGCCACTGTTTGAGATATTAGAACTGCTCTCAATATGGGCTTAAGCTACACCGCCCGAGGTACAAGCATGTCAATTATAAACATTTTCTCAACTTTCTCATACTAGAACATACGAAGATAATTAACGATATATGTTAATATTTGAGTAGGCAAAAATACTGACTAGTTTATATTATGCAGAGAAATGCATGTTCCTTCTTCAGCATACATATTACTCATGTTTGATTAACTCTTAATAGTTGTTTCAATCTTGAAATTGTATATTAATTGAAAGGGCTTTACACACAACAGCTGTAGGCAAGCATATTAAAAACCAAATTCAAAATGACAGTAAGGAAACATATTCAGATGTCATTTTATGTTATTTTTCTGTGTGCGATAAAACTTCAAGCTCTTTCAGAGCACAATCTTTCAATTTGCCAAATTCACTTTCACATGTTCTACCTTCTTCACACTCACAGTTCTTCCTCCATCACAGCAGGTTTAGAAGCAGCAGCAGCCTGAGCAGCTTCATTCTTGGTGATCACCTCGGCTTCACAAATTCTTCTTTCTTTGAAACTTTCCCCTGAACAGGTGTAGTTTGCATCTTTGGTGTAGAACCACAACTTGAATAGCTACTTCCACAACAACTCTTCCTCTCCATCTTCTTAATCTGCTTCTTTAATTACTCGGCAACTTTCTTGAGAACTAATGAGAATATTAGAAGGGAATGTNTATTACACTTTCTCTAATTATAAAACCTAAATTTAATATAATTACGTACTAAAAAATGAATCAAATAAAATGAAAGAGTGAAGCATAAGAAGATAAATAATACTAAAGTCTTTTCAAAACAAAGTTTGAAATACTTTCCAGTTTTTATTTTTTCAATTTTTTTGTTAATATATAAAAGTTTAAGAAATAAAAATTGAAAATAAAAAATAATTAGACAAACGGTATTATAGTCCTTATATGGTAAGGGAATCAATTTTTTTGGGTCCATTTGTTAATTTCCGAAATCATTGGATGTTTTGTTGCTTTCCTCACCCCTTAGGAGGAAATAGTTATAAACCCAAGGATTACCAAAACTTTGGGTTTCAAGCGTTTGTGGTTGGTTGTGTTAAACAATTACTTGTCAAAGATTGTAGAAAATTATTTCTTAAGAGAAGACAATGACATTATTGCCAAACCAAATTGATGTTTATCCATAATTGTATCTAAAAGTTTAAGGTTTTAAAGCCATTTTATTTTGTTATCCTTTTTGTTTAGCAATCTTATAGGGTAAACATTGTAATTGTTATTTAATTGTAAATAATGGTGAAAATATTAAACAAATCTACGCCATACAATTTAAATTTCCCTAGGTATAAAAAGATATAGATTCTAATATCTTCAAAGATAATTAATTGACCAATATTCTAAGATAGCTCAAAGATAATATTTAGGGTGTGTTTGGTTTGGAGTGATCGCTCATTATTCTATTAATATCATTTTATATTATTGTCATTACTATGTTTGGTTGTCAAGTAATAAAAGATTATATAAGGATAATCAGAATACTACCTCTTTCTTAAGTATTTTAAGATTACTTGATAATCTTAATTTTGTTACAGTTTTAGTCCTAATTAATAATATAATTATTATATTATATTATTAATAATATTAATAACTAAAATATCACCCATCTCTACCCAAGATCCGAGCATCAAAATTCCATTTTTGCCTAAATTGCAGAGAAAACGGGCTTCTAGATGTGGGATTTCATTAGTGATCCTTTCAGAACATTGACTTGTCACATGAGTCTGAATTTCATATTTCCGTATGTGAAAAGAAGTATAAATATCTTCATATATCAGATGTTCGCTAATAAGTACCGCATCCTCAAAATTATAACCTTCCCATGGCATATAACCTATTGTTCCTGCCAATTTATTTCAATCTAACCAAACATATTCAATATAACATTATGGGCCCGTTTGGTTTGAGGTAATATTTTTTAAATTGAGCAAATGACGATGTTTGATTGTTAAGTAAAATAAGATTACCGTAAACAAATTTTACAAACAGTACTTTTGGAGGATAAATAGGGGGGAATCAAAATACCTAGGGGGAGGGTGTTATTAAAACTTTCCCCCCATTAAAACCTTTTGTTTCCAGATTTGTGGCCGTGAAACGTCGACCGTTTCACGGCCACGTCTTTAGTTGTAAAACGGCTAGATCTGGCTTCACGACCAAATCTAGATGTTTCCAAGCCTCACCGGTGCATGGTTGACCAAATCCGATCGGTCGTGCACCGTTACGGTCACTTCCAGCGGTGGTTGGCGGTCGACAGTGGCTAAAGGTGGGTAAGGGTGATTTTGTTACAAAATAAAGTTTTTTCAATTGTAAAGAGGTTAAAATAAATGATTCAAAAAACAATACTATACTAATATTTAAAATAAAGGGCAATTTAGTAATCTATATAATATACCCGTCAATTTATCCTCCCAACTAAATATATTAATATAATATACCTACTAATTTATCAAACACATTTCCTAAACATTGTCAGTAATCTTTAAGGTGATCTATCTGTCTATTAATATAACATTCTCTATAATAAATTATTATATGATCCAAACTCCTTTACCAGTAATCTTTAAAGTAGTTTATC